GTAAAGGCGTCAAAATCGACTTAACAGTCATTTAAATTTTTGATATTTTTATCTACATGTATTACTCTGTTTACCTTCAGTTTTATAAAACATGCACAGAAATCGGATAAAAAAATATTGTTTATTTGAAGATCGTTCAGCTTGACATTATTATTGTGTTGGTTGTATTTTATAATCTTTCAATTTGACCTTTTTAGATGCGTGGTTCGAGTATTCCTAGTTAAATACTGTATAATAACTATTTGAATATGTTGCCTTCCCTTGAAATTTGTCGCTTGGCCTTTAATACACTTCATTTATCCAGCCCATTGTTTTCTCGTTTAATGCTGTCTATCACTTGGGGAGAACATGCCGTATTTTATGGAATAGCACGAACATTTTTCATTGAATTACCATGGTCACCATTGTATGTGTTTCCTAACTTCCTTTAAAGCAGCACGCCTTCAGATTCATGTTAATTTTCATGAACATTTTGAAAATGTATTTGAACATGTTGAATGTGCAATATTGTGAAATAACAAAAACAAAGCAAGTTACACATTATCAATGGCACTTAGAAACCACGTTAATTACCAAAAAGTGGTCTTTTTTATTCTGCTGTTAAAGCAGCACATCTCCAGATTCATGCTAATTTTAATGAAAATTTTGAAAATGTATTTGAATGTGAAATACTGTGAAGAAACCAAAAGAAAGCATTTAACGCATTATCAACGGCACTTACAAACAACGTAAATTACCATAAATAGTGGTCAAAATGTGCATAAATAGCCTAAACTGCCTAAGTAGAAATATATATAATATACATGTAATAAGGCGGTGTTATGGGGCATCTACGGTAACTTGCAATTACCATTATACTCATTGACGTTTTTGACAGGCTATGTAAATGAATGAAAAATAGTCTTGGATTTTGAAACTGGTGTCTGCGCATAATTATATTGATGATTTAGTTATAAGCTGTCTTGTTTTACCTTTTATTGTTGACAATGGTGCCAAAATTAAATCTTATATTTGATATAGATCTTAGTTTTTGCTTCACAAATAGTTGCCACGCTGTTGATACTAAGTGCAGTTGTTAACACAACATAATCATATCAAAGATTGAAACATATAGCGTTAATATATAAATGACAGGAAGTAAATTGGTGAATCTAATGGAATAAACTCACACACATAAACATGTATAATTATGTTGTGTACTGGTATGATTAGTACATATGTGTATTGTCTTTTACGTGTTATGTTTTATATGATTCTTTATCCTGTTTTATAAGTAAATTTGTTTCTTTTTTGCAGTAAACTCCGAACAGGCTGGAAGAATAAAATCCTGGAATGAGAAACGCAAAGACATTTGCAAATGCAGATTACCCAATCAGTGTAAATGCAGTAAATTCACATTTCCAGAAGATATTCATATAGACAAATCTTATAAATATAACTTATTGTTCAAAAGTCTAGGTCTATCGGATGCTGTTATGTACCAGGAGAGCAGCACACGGGAGATAGACCCGGAAAAGATATCTCAGAAAACTTTAGTTATTAATTTATTACATAAGTGGGTAGAACTTAAAACCACACCCACTACATTAAGACAATTATCATTATCACTATGTGCAGCCAATCTTCATAGTATAAATGAGAAACTATATAATTTAATTATTAGTAATGATTCGTCATAGCTGTATATGTGTGTTTGATGTAATTTTAGTAAAATTTTGCTTTTACATTCGGACATGAAATGGCCTAATTATTAAGTTTTGTACAGCAGCGGTCATAGCGTTAGATGTAGAAATATGACATTTGTTAACAAACAGAAAATATGTGCCATCGTTAAATTTTGCCAACAGATTGACTATAATCATTCAGATACACACACAATGATTAAATAAACAAAGGACAATTATCCTGCCATCAGGACACTTGTTTTCAGCTGGCACAAGCAATTCAAAAACTGAACATACAAGATCAATAACGAGAAAGGGTGAGGATGAAAGTTGAAAATTGACGGGACGTTAGTGACGTCAATTGCAAAAGCGCTACAAAAGAATCCACGTTAAACGGTACGCGAACTGTTTATCGTTGTTTTTATCTGCTTCGGGTCTACTTATTCAGTTTTAACCAAAGGATTGTAAATAAGACATTTGTTATAAACACTATTTTATTGTATTTAACTAGATATACGTGTAATCAATAAATTAATGTAATAGTTAACGGAAATAATTAGTAGTGTTTGCCGAAAACTTGTTTTAATAAACGATAGACTGTGCTAAGTAGAAAAGGATACTTTTCAATTGAGAAATATCTTTATTGTTCTGTATATAATCATATTGTTTTAATCACAATGACATGAGTAAATTAATAGAATATATTGCTTTTACTTTAACATTTTCAGTCCTATTGAGTTCCACGGTTACTAAAAAACTTGAGAAAACCGGGAGAATGCCCGGCTATCGGGCATTTATTTTTTTTTTTTTAAACAGTGGAACAAGAATGTGATCGCTTTTTTTCTTGCTTCATCTCCACATATGAGGCAAAGTAAAAGTTACATGACTCATACACCTAGATACTAGGGAGACTACTTGCAGAAAGAATGACGCTTATTACAATTTCGATTCATTTTACGACGTCATGAACGTCAATAATTGTATTGTTAGCGTGCGCCGCGTTTCGTACCCCTTGTCACTTGAAAATTTCACAGAAATTTCATTTCTTTACATTTTGTTTTGTTTTTTTCACTGTATATAGAGAACATGTTCCGATATTTGTCTCATGTAAAATTTTGTACGTAAATTTAAAAATGTGAACAATAGAGCTGCAGTCCTATTACTTTTTGAACAACCCTCGTATAATGAAATGTTTGATGCAAATAAACTAATATTTATAATTGTTTGTTTGTGTTTTAATATTTTTAAATATTCTTTGCTTTTTAAACATATCTAATGACAAATTCAATATGATAACGATTTCCAAAATAGAGAAATATAGATGAAAGAGAAAGGAAAACATCAACTTTATAATATTTTGGACTAGAGCGCTAAGGCCCTTGACCTTAATATAAACATTAGATAATTATCAAAGTTACATGTACAAAGCACATATATAGAAACAAAGTGCCATTTTAGATAGTATCTATCAAGTATATTCTAATTATGGCAAATGTGTTTGTATAACGCGTATAGAATTTAATAAAATGATATAATTAGTAGTTCCCTATCACTTTTAAAAGAATACAGAGGGATTCTAATGCGAATATAAACAAGTTATTTATAAAGTTGTGTACTATTATTATACAATAGAAATAAAAATAAAAGCTGCTAATCATAAATACATAAACAAATGAAATATTGATTAACAAAAGCAAGATCTATAATATATTGATATATGACGTAATAGATTATTTGGCCAGCAGCCAAATTTGTAATAAGCTGTTTTCTGAATTTAGAAAAATCAAAAACAAAAAACAAATACAACAGGACAAAATAATCAAAATAACAAACAAAATGCGAAATTTAGATAATCAAAGCACAGAAGGCGCTGAATTTGTTTGGGTCTCAGAATGTAAGAAAGGTGCAGGTTGTGAGATTATATGTTTAGTGCCACCAATGCTTTCCAGCGTTTTAATTGTAGTAAATTGGCTATAAGACTAATTGCAACACTGATATTCAATCCAATGTTTATTTGACTTTAACAATTTAAAAAAATAAGTTACCTTTACTGGGATTTGAACTCCAGACCTCTCGCTTCCTAAGCGAGCCCGAAAACCCTTCAGCCACGGTGAATTTATATGTGAACGGCCTGAAGAAAACCATATTATTCTAAATTAGGGCTTGTAACGACTTTAACTGTTGTTTAACACAGATGTAAATAATCCTGGAGCTTACTATAAGCATGTATATTTATAAAGAATCAAACGGCTGCAAGTTCTGTGGTATATTCTGATCTTTGCAATCTAAATCGTACTGTATATCTGTATGCATTTTCCTGTATAAGTTTATTTTTATGTATTATAATTCCTTTTGTAAGGCACCAGAGTTTGAAACATACGGAATTCTGCATAACTAGAGTTGCATCAAAAAATCATTTATGTTCTTTTTTTTACGACAGCCACACTTTATCTTTGTATATCATGGCTACTTCCTTAACAGAAACACTTAAAAAAAAGAATTTAACAAAAAAAAAAAGTTTCCTGGACTGGGATTCGAACTCCAGACCTGTCACTCACCAAGCGAGCGCGTTACCACTGTACCACGGAGAAGTTATACACAGTATGTCTGAATAATATCAAGTCATTCTAAATTTAGAACTTCCATTGCAGTTCGGGTTTGTAATCCTTATTAATTTCGTGGTATTTTGTTCAGGGTAAACCTGTTGTTTATAATTGAAGTAAATATTTTAGCGAAAATCCTCGCGCCCAAACAGTCCGGCATGTAGAATCTATATATTCCACTACTCGGTTTGTGTAGTATTCGGTAATCTACATGGCTAAAAATAGTATTTTCATTGATAAAATCATATTCATCCGCGTAATTTGTGATTGTGCATTTATTGACAATTCTATAAGCCAACGCTATTGTTTAACTTTAAATGCGTTGTAATTTGTTGGATACTTGTAACAAAATAAAATATTTCTTTCTTTTAAATCGCTAGTTTTAAGCTGTTTTGAGAACTACTTGTTGTTAGGTTTGTAGTAAACTTCTGTGTCAGAGATTGAATGTCCGCTTTGTATTTAGTTATTTTCGATCAGAAAATACAATAAAACAATATTAGAAATCTTTGACCATTCGGGAATTACTTTGCTTGAAAATTGATGCGCCTGTCTTTGACCATCTTTACGCAGTGATCTCCCCTGAATTTTTCGGCTTTAGTGTACATACAAAAGGGAAGTAACCGCTCCAAAAAAGTGGACTACTTTCGGCATTTGCAATTAACAACATTAGACTCTGAAATTTCGCTACCATTATTTGTTTGGTCTGACGACCCAAACAAATAAAAACCATAACGTGAATTTCATTAAAAAATTTTGATTGTTGTTTCAGGGCATGCTCCCAGTTATTATAGCAGAGTACCTAGACATGACTTATCGCACGATAATGATATTGAAATGGACACCCTGGCACACACCGATCAAAGTGATGCATCTTTGTACCTACGATCAGAAGAGACACATTTCCAGATAACGCCTGTAAGAGCCGAACTTCCCTTACCGATAGATCAACAAGTAAGGGCAGAACTCTCTCAACAATGTCCGACAAATCATTTGGACGCATTGGGTAAGTTACAAAATATAAATAATATGGAAATAAACATATGTAAGTTAGAGTATACCTTAATGTGAAGTTAAAACTTTTAGAATTGATTTTTATTTTTTAAACAACTTTAAATACTTTTTTTTTCAAATTTGCTAATGGCATATTGTATTAATGTACTCATTGACGTTTTTGACAGGCTATGTAAATGAATGAAAAATAGTCTTGGATTTTGAAACTGGTGTCTGCGCATAATTATATTGATGATTTAGTTATAAGCTGTCTTGTTTTACCTTTTATTGTTAACAATGGTGCCAAAATTAAATCTTATATTTGATATAGATCTTAGTTTTTGCTTCACAAATATTTGCCACGCTGTTGATACTAAGTGCAGTTGTTAACACAACATAATCATATCAAAGATTGAAACATATAGCGTTAATATATAAATGACAGGAAGTAAATTGGTGAATCTAATGGAATAAACTCACACACAAAAACATGTATAATTATGTTGTGTAGTGGTATGATAAGTACATATGTGTACTGTCTTTTACGTGTTATGTTTTATATGATTCTTTATCCTGTTTTATAAGTAAATTTGTTTCTTTTTTGCAGTAAACTCCGAACAGGCTGGAAGAATAAAATCCTGGAATGAGAAACGCAAAGACATTTGCAAATGCAGATTACCCAATCAGTGTAAATGCAGTAAATTCACATTTCCAGAAGATATTCATATAGACAAATCTGATAAATATATCCTAGAAGTTGCAACAAACATATGTCATGAACCAATCCCATTGTTCGAAAGTCTAGGTCTATCGGATGCTGTTATATACCAGGAGAGCAACACACGGGACATAGACCCGGAAAAGATATTTTAGAAAACTTTAGTTATTAATTTATTACATAAGTGGGTAGAACTTAAAACCACACCCACTACATTAAGACAATTATCATTATCACTATGTGCAGCCAATTTTCATAGTATAAATGAGAAACTATATAATTTAATTATTAGTAATGATTCGTCATAGCTGTATATGTGTGTTTGATGTAATTTTAGTAAAATTTTGCTTTTATAATGAAATGTTTGATGCAAATAAACTAATATTTATAATTGTTTGTTTGTGTTTTAATATTTTTAAATATTCTTTGCTTTTTAAACATATCTAATGACAAATTCAATATGATAACGATTTCCAAAATAGAGAAATATAGATGAAAGAGAAAAGATAATATTAACTTTAACTTTTTTTTGGACTAGAGCGATAAGGCCCTTGACCTTAATACCTCATAACAATATAAACATACGATAATTATCATAGTTACGTGTACAAAGCACATATATAGAAACAAAGTGCCATTTTAGATAGTATCTATCAAGTATATTCTAATTTTGGCAAATGTGTTTGTATAACGCGTATAAAATTTAATAAAATGATATAATTAGGAGTTCCCTATCACTTTTAAAAGAATACAGAGGGATTCTAATTCGAATATAAACAACTTATTTATAAACTTGTTTATTATTATACAATTAAAATAAAAGCTGCTAATCATAAACACATAAACAAATGAAATACTGATTAACAAAAGCAAGATCTATAATATATTGATATATGACGTAATAGATTATTTGGCCAGCAGCCAAATTTGTAATAAGCTGTTTTCTGAATTTAGAAAAATCAAAAACAAAAAACAAATACAACAGGACAAAATAATCAAAATAACAAACAAAATGCGAAATTTAGATAATCAAAGCACAGAAGGCGCTGAATTTGTTTGGGTCTCAGAATGTAAGAAAGGTGCAGGTTGTGAGATTATATGTTTAGTGCCACCAATGCTTTCCAGCGTTTTAATTGTAGTAAATTGGCTATAAGACTAATTGCAACACTGATATTCAATCCAATGTTTATTTGACTTTAACAATTTAAAAAAATAAGTTACCTTTACTGGGATTTGAACTCCAGACCTCTCGCTTCCTAAGCGAGCCCGAAAACCCTTCAGCCACGGTGAATTTATATGTGAACGGCCTGAAGAAAACCATATTATTCTAAATTAGGGCTTGTAACGACTTTAACTGTTGTTTAACACAGATGTAAATAATCCTGGAGCTTACTATAAGCATGTATATTTATAAAGAATCAAACGGCTGCAAGTTCTGTGGTATTTTCTGATCTTTGCAATCTAAATCGTACTGTATATCTGTATGCATTTTCCTGTATAAGTTTATTTTTATGTATTATAATTCCTTTTGTAAGGCACCAGAGTTTGAAACATACGGAATTCTGCATAACTAGAGTTGCATCAAAAAATCATTTATGTTCTTTTTTTTACGACAGCCACACTTTATCTTTGTATATCATGGCTACTTCCTTAACAAAAACACTTAAAAAAAAGAATTTAACAAAAAAAAAAGTTTCCTGGACTGGGATTCGAACTCGAGACCTCTCACTCACGAAGCGAGCGCGTTACCACTGTACCACGGAGAAGTTATACACAGTATGTCTGAATAATATCAAGTCATTCTAAATTTAGAACTTCCATTGCAGTTCGGGTTTGTAATCCTTATTAATTTCGTGGTATTTTGTTCAGGGTAAACCTGTTGTTTATAATTGAAGTAAATATTTTAGCGAAAATCCTCGCGCCCAAACAGTCCGGCATGTAGAATCTATATATTCCACTACTCGGTTTGTGTAGTATTCGGTAATCTACATGGCTAAAAATAGTATTTTCATTGATAAAATCATATTCATCCGCGTAATTTGTGATTGTGCATTTATTGACAATTCTATAAGCCAACGCTATTGTTTAACTTTAAATGCGTTGTAATTTGTTGGATACTTGTAACAAAATAAAATATTTCTTTCTTTTAAATCGCTAGTTTTAAGCTGTTTTGAGAACTACTTGTTGTTAGGTTTGTAGTAAACTTCTGTGTCAGAGATTGAATGTCCGCTTTGTATTTTGTTATTTTCGATCAGAAAATACAATAAAACAATATTAGAAATCTTTGACCATTCGGGAATTACTTTGCTTGAAAATTGATGCGCCTGTCTTTGACCATCTTTACGCAGTGATCTCCCCTGAAATTTTCGGCTTTAGTGTACATACAAAAGGGAAGTAACCGCTCCAAAAAAGTGGACTACTTTCGGCATTTGCAATTAACAACATTAGACTCTGAAATTTCGCTACCATTATTTGTTTGGTCTGACGACCCAAACAAATAAAAACCAAAGTTATAAGCCAGCTTCTATGCATATTCATCATTCTTGGACCTCAATCTATTTGATGAACTTCTTAAACTGGTAAATTTTCTATCTTATTTTATTCAATTTATAAATATAAAAGATATATTTTTGTTATTAAATATACATAATGACTAAGATAGACAAATAAGAACAAACAAATTAGTAAACATGAGTTACATCCCTTAAAAAGAAGAAAACCTGAATCGCCCGAAAAAATTGCAATGAAATTTTGCCGTTTGAGGACCCCGGTCAAACGGCACATTTTTTCTTACCCTGCGATATTTGGTGCAAAATGTGATATATAGCTTATAAGAAGTATACTCTGTTATTCAAGAATTGTAATGTGGATAAATTTCAATATGGTAGAGATGTCACAGTATATTAAGCTGTTCAATAATAAGGGGAGAAGATATGTAATTAAGAAACCTTATATCTCAGTTGGTAGAGCTGTGAAATGGTATTCAATGCATGACAGGTTTGAGCTGAGGACCAGTCAGGTTGCACTTTTTCTCCCTGTTACCTTAAGGGTCCAATATGAAGCTTATGGTGGTCAATTTACTTAAGTCACTTAAGTGTTCCAATGAAAAAGACAAATTTCAATATAATGGGGGTTATGTCAATGTAAAGATGAAAGAAAATGTTTAAGCTGTAGACCTGCAGTATGGTATTCAAAGAGTTCTGGGTTTTTTGGTAGTGCTGAGGTATGGTACATGTATTCTGAGGGTCTCTGGATTGAGTCTTAGTCAGGCTGCATTTTTCTCACTCTAGTTGTGATATTAATAAATATTTCCTGCATATATTAATGATTTATAATGTTTTAAGTCATATTGTTAAATTGTCTATGTAACTTTATTGTAACAGTACAACTTCTTAAATTTGATCTTTTTCTGTATGAGGGAGAGAAGCTCTTAATTAACTCCTCACCAGTGAGTTTTAAGCTGCGGTCTCCCTTACTCCCAGCAGAGCCCAGGACCACCGCAATAAGTTAATGGGATGATACGGAAATTCCGGGGTGAAATTATTGTTGCGGTCACACTAACCGCGGCAGCACTACGGTAATTCCCAACTCACCACCCTGGATGTGCTCCGGACCATCCACGCAGAGCCCAGGTGAAGCTACGGTTCATGCCGGTGCTTCCCTGGTCTTTCCCGGATGACGCTGGAAGAGTCCGGTTGACCCAGGCAGATCCCTGGTCGATCCAGGCAGAGCACTGGTAAAATCCTGGTGGATTGTAATCCTGCGAAAATGATTACATTGATACAAAATTTTTGTCCCCCGCCTTTTCGAAGAAAAAAGGGGGTGTAGAAATAGGCTCCATCCGTCTGTCTGTCCATCTGTCACACTTTCGTGTCCGGTCCATAACTTTGTCATTTATTAATGGAATCTGAAAAAACTTGGCACAAATGTTTGTTATCATAAGATTGTGTGTCATGCGCAACAAGCAGACCCTTACCTCCAGGGTCAAGGTCGCACTTGCTCATTCAAGGTCAACATTGTCTATTTGAGGGTATATGTCGTGTCTGGTCCATAACTTTTTTTATCTTTGAAGGGATTTTGTAAATACTTGCCACAATTGCTCACAATAATGAGAATATGTGTCATGTGTAATAACCGGTCACCTACCTCCAAGGTCAAGGTCACATTTGGAGGTCAAAGATTAACATAGTCTGTTACAGGGTATATTTCGTGTCCGGTCCATAACTTTGTCATTTATCAAAGGAATTTGAAATAACTTGGCACTTATGTTAATTATAATAAGACGATGTGTCAGGCACAACAACCAGACCCCTACCTCCAGGGTCAAGATCGCACTTGCTCATTTAAGGTCAACATTGTCTTTTTGAGGGTTTATGTCGTGTCAGGGCTACAACTTTCTTATCTTTGAAGGGATTTTGTAAATACTTGCCACAATTGCTCACAATAATGAGAAGATGTGTCATGTGTCACAACCGATAACCTACCGCCAAGTTCAAGGTCACACTTGGAGGTCAAAGATTAACATAGTCTGTTGCAGGGTATATTTCATGTTCGGTCCGTAGCTTTGTCATTTATCAAAGGAATTTGAAATAACTTGGCACAAATGTTTGTTACAATAAGACGATGTGTCAGGCACAACAACCAGACCCCTACCTCCAGGGTCAAGATTGCACTTGCTCATTGAAGGTCAACATTGTCTTTTTGAGGGTATATGTCGTGTCCGGGCTACAACTTTCGTATCTTTGAAGGGATTTTGTAAATACTTGCCACAATTGCTCACAATAATGAGAAGATGTGTCATGCGCAACAATTCAAGGTCAAGGTCACACTTGGAGGTCAAAGATTAACATAGTCTGTTAAAGGGTATATTTTGTGTCCGGTCTAGAACTTCTTCATTGTTCAAGGGATTTTGAAGTAACTTGGCACAAATAGTCACAATAATAAGACGATATGTCAAGTACAACTCCTGCACCCCTACCTCCAAGGTAAAGGTCACACTTAGGGGTCAAAAGTTAACAGTCTGTTATATGGTATATTTTGTGTCCCGTCCATAACTTCTTCATAGATCAAGGGATTTTGAAAATATTTGGCACAAATAATCACAATAATAGGACGATATGTCAGGCCCAAAACATGGGTCCCTACCTCCAAGGTCACACTTGGAGGTCAAAGATTAACATAGTCTGTTAGAGGGTACATTTTGTGTCCCATCTATAACTTCTTGATAGTTTAAGGGATTTTGAAAATACTTGGTACAAATGGTTACAATAATAAGACGATGAGTCATGCACAACACCTGCACCCCTACCTCCAAGGTCAAAGTCACATTTACAGGTCAAAAGTTAACATAGTCTGTTAAAGGGTAGATATTGTGTCCGATCTTGAACTTCT